TTTGAACTTGGCATTGGATTTTGTTACATATAATTGAATATAGATATCACTGTTATTTGTAAGTCACTTTCTTAGAATCCTGTACTCATATTGCGCCATGAAACCCTGACTCGAGAAGCTGGGAATCTGACGGTTGTTCTGTCCTGACCCCTGGCTTACTTTCTCCTTATAGTTCTAACCATGGTACATAGACCAATCTCAGTCACAATCACCCTTTCAGACCTTTCCTTATTATATAGGAAGTTGCATTTGAGTTATAAAGTTCTCTGTATACATAGTAAATGTAAGGAGTTGACATAAAGTTCTAAATAAGCAAAGTAAGTGTGGGGAATTATGGGTAAAAACTTCTAACTGTTGACTACTTGAAAAGCTAAGCTAGCTAATTGACCATGAACTAAAACTCGGAATGACTTTTCTTATGCTTGTGTTTCTTGATGTTTTAATTTTAGATTCCAAAAAAAGGGACTGAGACTCTGGGGTTGGGTAGGTTAAGGTCACATAAGAATCACAGTTTACTCATACTATATTTTTATTTTAGTGAAGATTGATAAGGATAAACGCCTGGTGGTACTGGACGAAGAGCTTGAGGTTTGTTTAATCAGCTAAATACAGTTTTATAGTTAAGCAATTATAGCCCAAAAGATGTTATATTGGTTACATGTACTTCTAAAATGAGTTCTACACCTTTAAATATGTGTTTATTATGCATGAAAAACGTGCTAATTATTGTGTAGTGCTTTGTCTTGCTAATTTAATCATCTTTAAAACAATGAATCAGTCTAACAAGTGGTAGAAATTAGGGCTATATATCCAGTAATTACTGAGTCAACTTTATAACTTGCTTCTAAATTGCTTGCCAGTAAATAAAAACTAAAACCCTATAACCTAAATATTTAGTTTGTCAAATTAAGTAATTTAGAGTGAAAAGAAATGAATTCTGGCCCTGGCCGAGTAGCTCAGTTGATTAGAGCGTCGGCCCCATAAGCCAGGGTTTCAGGTCTGATTCCGTCAGAGCACATACAAGGAACAACCAATGAATGCATAAATAAGTAGGACAACAAAATCAATCTCTCTCTTTTCTCTCTTCCTTTCTGTCTCAAATCAATAAAAAAAAAAGAAATTAACGCCTTCTTACCCCCCTAATTCAGATATGTTGTTTCTCCTGAGAGGTTGGCTTATCTCACTGTTTTCTGACAATTGGAACATGAGCATAGACTACTGTGCCTCTCAGCCCAGTGTTTAGTGAATAAACAAGTGGGCTAAACCGAGTGGGCTTTCTTTAGATTGAGGATTCAGGAACCTCAGCTTGTGTGCAACTTAATAAAATAAAATTTTATGTTGTGGTGTATAGTTAGGTATTTATACCTATTGGTAGAATGGGTGCCTGGTATATGTCTTAAGGATATAGGTAAAAAATTGCTTAAAAGTTGTTTTTCTCTATTATGCCAGGGCATTTCACCGGATGAACTTAAAGATGAACTACCTGAACGACAACCTCGATATCCTTTTCTCACTTCTTTAAAGAAATTTGTTTTCTTTAGTGGCCAGAATTTCATTTATGACGTTTAATTTTTCAACTTTTAGAAGACATATTATATAAAATTTTCTTCTACACCATAATCACAATCAAATTAAAATATGTATGCACATATTGGACCAAGAAAAGTGAAAAGTTGGTATATTCGTGGGATGAATTATTTTTTTAAAATTCCATTTATTATATATTTATAATAAAAATGAGAAAGGAAAATATCCATATAAAATTCATACTTTTAATACATTTATTTTTGAGAGATTATATGATTTTATAACTTATCATTGGGCCTATTTATAAATCTGTGGAAAGATAATGAATAGTGAAGGTGTGGTCTAAATGGGTATGTTAGAAATTTATCACTCACTAGCTCCCCAGGTGTGTATTTCAGAACTTTGTTGGTAATTACTTGTCTCATAGAGCAGTAATTTTAGTTTCTTTAACTTGAGAAAAACCTTCATAGTCTATAGTTACAAATATCAACATGATGATGGAAGAGTTTCATATCCTCTGTGTTTTATTTTCTCAAGTCCTGTTGGTAAGTGAATTTTTTTAAATAGTGCATATTTGTTTCTGATTTAATATAAAACTTTTTTTAATTTGGACAAATTGTATGCTTATTTTAAAGAAGAAAAGTGTCAAGTAAACCTAAATTGAGTGGTGTGTGTGCACACATGCACATGTAAATGTGTCCCTAGAAATAAGTTACTATAAAACATCATGTGTTAGAACTTACTTATTTTCCTTGAATAAAATCCTAGAAGTGTCATTGTTAGGTCAGATCATACACACATTTTAAGGAATTTGAAATGTAATAACATTTTAAAATATCAAAAGTACATTTTCTCCTATATTTTAAATATTTTTATAAGTAAGTGAATTTTGTGTGTAATAATGATATATATTTATGTTTATCTTTAAAATGGTAGTTGCCCATAATCCTATATTAATAAAAGGCTAATATGCAAATCAAATGAATGGCGGAACGACTGGTTGCTATGACATGCACTGACCACCAAGGGGCAAACACTCAACGCAGGAGCTGCCCCTTGGTGGTCAGTGCACTCCCACAGGGGAACGCTGCTCAGCCAGAAGCTGGGCTCACGGCTGGCGAGCGCAGCGATGGTGGCAGGAGCCTCTTCCACCTCCGGGGCAGCACTAAGGATGTCTGACTGACGGCTTAAAGGAGTGGGCCTAAGCCGTCAGTCAGACATCCCCAGAGGGTTCCTGGACTGCGAGAGGGTGCAGGCTGGGCTGAGAGGCCCAGCTCCCTCCCACCCCCCAGTGCACGATTTTCGTGCACCGGGCCTCTAGTATGTCTATAATCTTGATAATAGTCCCAGAGTAGTTTACCTTGGATATTAAAATGGCTTGTTGGTATTTAAGGTATCTATCACCAGAAGTCTCACAAGTACCACATTCAAGTCCACAGTAAAATCTCTACTTGAACTCTTTTCTAAATTTTACTATTTGTGTCATTTAGCACTTAAAATACACTAGTATATTTTTAACTTAATTTGTAATCAAACTGTAAATTTTCTTAAGGGCAGATCTCTCCTACTGACCCATCACCATCCCAAAACCTTATCTGTGTTAGACATCAATAAAATTGAACTTGATATTTTTAAAGTCAAAATTAAGAAAGTGCTAACAAGTTTTTAAGTGTTTGCAAGGATTTAAAAGTCAAGATCTGCAGAGATCTAGCCTCATTTATTTTTGCTGACCTAAAGCTTATTTATTTGTAATTTAGCTATGTCTCTTTGTACAGTATGCAAGTAAGTTTCAGAATCACATTTAGACTGAAGTTTTTATAAACTCAAAAGAGTAGGAAACCTGAAATGTGTCATTTTTAAAAAAGCAAATAATGAAAACCCATTGCTTTGTCAAAATCTAAGTCTCAATTCTACACAAATCTCTCTTTTCCAGGATGTAAGCCTGAACAACAAATGATGTATGCTGGGAGTAAGAATAAGCTAGTCCAAACAGCTGAACTAACCAAGGTGGGATTTATATTTACCTGCTTATTGAGACAGTATTTTCACTTAGAATACAGTAGTTCCCCACCCTTCATCCACGATTTCAGTTACCTGTGGTCAACCATAGTTCAAAAATTCCAGAATTAAACAATTTATAAGTTTTAAATTGCACATGATTCTGAGTAGCATGATGAAATCTTTGTCCTGCCCAGGACATGAGTCATCCCTTTGTCTAGTGAACACAGTGTTAGTTGCCTGTTAGTCACTGAGTTGTGCCTCAGTTATGAGGTCACTGTCCAGATATCACAGTGCTTGTGTTCAAGTAACCCTTATTTTACTTACTGATGGCCCCAAGTGCAAGGGTAATGATGCTGGAAATTCAGCTATGCCAAAGAGAAGCCGTAAAGTGCTTTCTAAGTGAAAAGGTATATGCATAGGAAAAAACATAGTGTATATAGGACTCCGTGGTATCTGCAGTTTCAGGCAATCCATTGGGAGTCAGATGATAACCTGAGGATAAGCGGGGGAACTATACAGAGCCATAAAATAATCTGAAGAGTGAAGTATTTTTATGAAATTGAACATTATTTAGAACAGAGCAGTAAATTAGTCAAGCTTTTTATTAGCTGAAAATAGACTGATAGAAATTTGAACCAGATGTGTGTTTTTGAATGGGAATTATAAGTTCATCAGAAGAAATCACATTAAAAATGTAGGCAGTTTTAGAAAAGCCACTGTAACTATTCAATCTACTGAGATTTCTTCATCGCCCATAATATAATTTCTAATAGATAAACATCAGCATTGAAACCTTACCGTAGACTGAATGAACCAGATTCTATGCAGGAATTTATATGCAGTTAACTATATTGCTTCCAAATCTAGAATACTTATTGGTAGCTTTATTAAGCTAGAACAGTCTGTTTTATATGAGACACTTGTTTTATGATTTAATATGCCCCCATTGTCTTATGGCAGTTTTGAAGGTTAAAGGTAAGAAGGGTACTTGCTCTTACACTTGTAACTTCCACATATTAGTTTGAGTTGAAAAAGTAGTTTATACATTTTAGATTTTGAAATAGAATATTACAACACTGAAATAGTATTAAATAGTATTTCCTTTTAGGTTTTTTAAAAAGAATTTTATTGATTTTTAGAGAGAGGGAGAGAGAAACTGATGAGAAAGCGAAATATCCATTGGCTGTTCCCAACCCCCTTGTGAGCACACACACACCCTCACTTGGGATGGAGCTGGGACCTGAAACCTGGGCATGTGCCCTGACCAGGAATCAAACCAACAACCCCCTGGTGCACAGAGCCATACCCAGCCAATTGAGCCACACTGGCCAGGGTGTTGTTTGTTTTTAAATGTTTTTATTGATTTTAGAGGGAAAGGAAGGGGGAGAGAGAGAAAAAAAATTGATGTGAGAGAGAAACATATCAGTTGCCTCCTGCACACACCCCGACTGGAGGATCGAACCCACAATCTGGGTATGTGCCCTGAACAGGAATCGAACTGGTGACCTCTTGATGCTCAACCAACTGAGCCACACCCCCAGGCTCAGGTTTTATTTTAAGGACAGCATCAGTGCTTTCTCCTTTGGGTACTTAATCATCAATCCAGGGAATGTCTTTAAGTGCGTTCCACTTTTTCCCTTTAGCCCATATATGCTTGCCATTGGTACCACCAGTATACCAGGTATAGACACTACCTTTCCTCATTTGTACCATAGGAATTCCGTGGAGTTGCTGTAGGAGCTTGGGTGGTTAAGAAGGAGCTCTGTTAATAGCCTCAAGTCTATTCTAACTCTGGGTGTGACCTAAAATGCTGAGTTAAGGCATTGCAATTTACAAATTACTTTTACAAATAATCCCTTTGAATCCTCACCACAGCCTTGTGAGGTTGATGGTGCTATTCCTGTTCTGTAGATGGGAAAACTGAGGTTCAGAGGATGAATGATTTGTCCAGGGTTGCATAATAATAAATGACAGAACTAGGACTCAAACCCACATCTGGCCTCAAATCCCATTCTTTCTGCTGTATTTACATTTTCTCTCTATAGCCATTACACTTCCTGGGCCTGTGTGTATGCAGATTCTTACTGGAGATTTGTGGCCAGTCCATCTTTATCAGTGCAATCTAAGCTATTTCCTCCAATTATGAAGGACTAGCATATGTTCTTTTATTTAGCTCCTAACCAGACTGATTTATTTGGGTTGTCTCTTTTAGTGGGTAGGATTTATAGAATTGCTCACTTGTAAGAGAGTTTTGGTTTTATGCCATCTTAATTGCTAAACTTTGGTAACTAAGTACTTAGTATTTTAAAAAAGTAAAGCACCTCCCAAATGGAATATCTAATTTACACAGATTAAGTCATGATCAATATCAAAGGAAGGAGAACCTGGTATTTAATGTGTTTGATTTTTTTTTTTGAGAGTATCAGCATATAACCTAAGTTTTTTGTTTTATTTTGTTTTTTTTTAAGGTATTTGAAATAAGAAATACTGAAGACCTAACTGAAGAATGGTTACGTGAGAAACTTGGATTTTTCCATTAATGTGAAGTTCTATGTTTCTAAAGTATTTATGTATTAACCTGACCATACTGGAGCCAGACATAAATACTTATTTATGCCTAAAATGCACTGTTACTTACAGTTTGTTTCCTGCAGTCAGACATAAACTTATTTATGCCTAAAATGCACTGTTACTTACAGTTTGTTTCCTGCAGTAAAGAAAAATTCTTCGCTTGTTCAAAGTTTGAGCAAAGAGGAAATCATCTTCATAGTAATGAAACTTTGTAAAATGTTCCCCCCTATTTGTAATTGTTAGATGGACTACTCTCCAGGGACTTTTTGCACTCTTGTGACCAATTTCTATAACTTATGGTTCAGAATTTGTTACTATTTGCAGACACCATTGGAAATTGGGTATTGTGATAGACAGCAGTTGCCTCCTTTTGACAAATACTGACCCAATTTAGCCATGAGTAATAATTTACTATAGTGTAACCTGCATTACAACTACATTTTTCATTAATTCTATCCCTTCTTTGATTTCCTTTCTCCTTTTTAATCAAGTCCAGAAACTTTATCAATCACACTCTCTCAAGGTCTGGGAGTTAGATTTTATAATAATTTTGTCTATTCTTATGGAAAATAACATCTTAGGACATTTTGGGTTGTAACTAATCAAGGGCTTCATTCTTGGTTGTGTCATTTCTAGAGAGCTTGAATCTAGATTAATAACATCTTATTTACAAAGCATCTCTTAATGTTGTCCTGTGAAAACTAGTTATTTTAAATTGGTTAGTACTGTGCCTTTGATTTGTTAGCTTTAAAGTTAGTTTAAGACTTTTACACTGCCAGTTTTCTGGATTTGGTGAAATTAATACTTTTGTAAAGGGTCCAAGTAAAACAATTTTCTAATGTGTGTATCTGAAATTTGTAAAAGATCAACTTCATATTTTTAAATTGAAATTCCAACTGTCCACTTGCATTGGTGAATATATGGCAGTTGAGAGTAATAAATTTGGGCATATTTGTGATTAATTTTGTGCCATTGAAAAC